GCCATCTTGTTAATAGGCATTAACCACTCTCATAATTGTGGGTAATTGCAAGCTGAATCAACGGGTTACGGTGGATGAATTGCAAAATCGCTACCCGATCCGATTTAGGCGCAAATTTCTGAATATAGGTTTGTATATTCTCTGAGCTAAACCCGATGGTTTCTAATTCCAAGTCCAGCTCATTGCACTGAGACGCATTCACCCCTGCCGGACGAGATGTGATTAAAACATGAGACTGGTTTAGTAGATGCTTTAAAAAATGGTGTTGAGGATGATTCTCACTGAACATTTCTGTGACTTCATCCAAACCATCCAGGATAAATAAAGTCTTACCCTGATGCGCAAGAAAAGCTTTCGCTAAAGCCTGCGCTTTGGCACTGTCATGACCTGAAAAGTAATGCTGGCACAGTAAATCTTCCAGCCGGTGGATCGAGGCTGTCTTAAGTTTCCGTAATGGCACCCACAGAATATTGTCAAAAATATCCTGCCATAAACCGTTGCGGTAATATTCATGCACCAGCTTTTTGCACAGTGTCGTTTTGCCTATCCCTGCCCGCCCCTGAACCAAAATCCGTTTGGGCTTTCCTTCTGAGCCATTGCGTAATCTTTGCACCTTAACAAGCTGATCTAATGCAATCAATTTGTTTGGATTGGTCGCCTCAAGCTGTTCACCACTTGGTAGGCGTTCAAAAGTCGCAGCTTGCTTTATAAGCTTTTCCCGGTCTTTTTCACGTTGTGCCCGACTTTCTACAATGGCCAGATTGATATAGCAGTCATCCAGTGGGGCTGTCTCCCCCGAGACCCGCTGAATTAAAAGATTCGAGCATTGATAATGCTCATACAGCGCTTCACGCAGATCGGAGAGCTTGGGTAGATGCAGTTCTTTTATTTTCCTCTTGTGCTGCAGGATAAAGATAAGCTGGCTATTTAGCTCCCTCTCTATATCGCCGAAAATGCCGTCTACAAGCTCGGCAAACGCAAGCCCGTCAAGCATTGAAGGCTCATTCTTTAACTGGGAAATACACTGATCGTACCCCTGCCAAAACTTGTTCAGAAATGTTGTAGCTTCATGGCTACCTACTAACAGACGCTCGATCAGCTTAAACAGCACTAGGTGCCGGCTTTGATTTGGATATACCTCTCGCCCTGCTTGGGCTTGCTCCTCAAATCGAGGAATATCTTCCATGCGAACTGTGGTCTGAGGAATAAAATGCCCCAAGCATTCCTTAGCGCTCTTTGGGGTTAACGAAACCGGGATAATGCCGTGTTGGTCCTCCAGGTACTCAGCTCGGATTTGCAAAAAAGCCATTTCCGTCAACACATGATGGAACCCTGCCTTATATTTTTGCTCTTGTGAAAATCGTCTCACCACCTCACGAATAGCCGAAGTACTCCGTGCTTCGCAATCTTTGCGATAAGCAACTCGGAGTTGCTGATAAAAACTTTCATAGTGCAGCCATTCTTTCAGGTATTTTTCCAATACCTCAGAACAACATACCACCACCTTATCGACTGGTTCCACATCGACTCTCAATTGAGTCGGCAACAAACAGAGTTGACTGGTTAAGATATCTTCCAGTTTGCTGTCCTCTTTTAACGCTTCCGGGGCCATTGAATGCGCTTGCCCCATCGGCGTTTGATCGGAGTACAGGTTGACTCGGATTTGAGATAACTTCTTGATTAAATATTTAGACGTATCGGCATCCGCTTTTCCATACGCTGGATTGTCGTGCGCATATACCAGAAACAGGCTAGTTTTATTGGACAACCCTAAAGAGCCCAACGTAGACAACGCCTTTTCAAACAAATAATCCACTTGTTTGCTTTTTTCTTGATTAGCCGCGACCCCTGGCACTTAAAAAAGCGAAGTATTCCTTGCATATCGTATCGAAGTTTATTTTTGCTCTTGAGTCATCAGGATTTCTTTCATGTTCAGTTTTAGCTTGCTCAACCGCATTTTGGTACCATTGTTTGGCTTCTTCTGGATTTTTTTTCGCTTTATACGCTTGCGCCCGGAGTAACAGATGCTGCGAGGAGATAGCTGGCGATGACGGACGTATTCCGGCGATAAAATTAAGCAATTTTTTTCCTAAACATTCGGGTGGCTTATATAGAAAAACGCCAGTTTACAGAGACCTTAAGCGCGACAATGCGCTTAAGATGAACTTAATCTCTCGAGCTTAGTAAGGAGCGGAAGGAAGGCCCGCGGCCTGCTGAGCTTGTTGGATTACTTCCCTAAATTTGGCTTCCTGGTTTGGATCGCTAAAAGGAACGACCTGCTGCCCCCTAGCAGTATAAAAACACAGACTGCTATCCTCTATATAAAAAGGCATGCTCAGATCAAAGCGTTGTTTAAGTAAACATTCTTCGTAGATCAACTCTATGCTCTGTCTATCTAGTTGAGAAATTGGCTGCCCCAGCATGATTCAATATTTCCTTATATTTCTTATCCAATGCCAATTCTTCTGAAGCAAACGAGATATGCAATCCCTATCATGCATCGGAAGACTTAATTTCAGCATTTTATTCTCCATTCCGCTTAACTTGCGTATGATTCTTAGAAAGATTCGGCTTCTTTATATTTTTATTTTGCTTATGTCTGGCTTAGCTGGTCGCCCCTGAATAACTCTGTAAACCTTATATAATAAGGGCCTCAGCGTCAAAGAGGCTTGCTTAAATTGCAAGAAATATGATTATCTAGATAATAAATGCTGCAAATTCACACGAGGCACAGATGGGTCCGAAGGTACCGGTGAGCACAAGAGATTTATTCCGATATCCGCTCAACGAACAGATCAATATGCAGCATCCATTGGTACGCCTAGCGGGTGTAATCAGCATGATCGTTGATATCACGGTGATGGAGAAAGCGATAACGTATCCAACGGACTCTAAATTGCTCGCCCGTTGTCAAAAGCATTTGGTGAAGGCGGCAACGGAGCAGGGTTTAAAAGCTTGTAAGTCTCCCGTTGCATCTAACGATAGATCAAAGCCTAACGTATGGTTAAGGTCATACAGAGCAGACATAAATGAAGAGTCGCAAAAAATTAGAGTCGGCTTCTTAAGGAATAAAAAGCACCCTAAGGTTACCTTTTGGCGTATACTCGAAATAACTTATTAAGGAGTTACTATGTCAACCAATGTCAAACTCTCTGATAGCTTCGTCGATCAGGCTAAGCACTACGCCCGCATTGAGCATCGCTCAGTCCCTAAGCAAATCGAATATTGGTCTCAGATTGGCAAAATGGCAGAAGAAAATCCTGACCTACCTTATTCGCTCATTCATGACATTTTGCTTGCAGATCAAGAAAAGGTAATTGGCGAATACACATTTAACTAACGCAATGCGCTTACTACTTACCCCCACTTTTGCGCGAGCAGTTAAAAAATTACATCGCTTACATAAAGAAGATCTTGATCTTGCTTTACGTTCGATCTCTGAGCAGCCGGACCTTGGCGAAGCCAAAGTAGGTGATTTGCTAGGCGTACGTGTTTACAAATTCCGCATGACTAATCAGCTCTGCTTACTTGCTTATCGGGTCCTGGATGAAAATAGCATCAAACTACTGGCCTTAGGTGCGCATGAGAATTTCTATCGTGATCTAAAGCGTTCAAGTATCGAATAATTATTAAAAAATGCTTACTAAAGCACCGCCTAACAAGCCAGCGATTACCTTAAACGAAGTGATTATTGAAGCATCCAAAGATGCTGAAATTTGTGCTTTGGAGTTATCAAATCTCGTCAGCCTTTTAATGAAAATTATTCTCATGCCGCTTGCATTTAAAGACGGTATCTACAAATGAACATTGGAGGAAGTAAATTCCCCGAGAATCCTTCGTTACAAGGGTTTTCGGTTGGCTTGAAGTAGGATAGGTTTGGGGGGAGTGTTGAATAACTGGCGGAAAGGGAGGGATTTGAACCCTCGATACGGATGAACCGTATACCAGATTTCGAGTCTGGCGCATTCGACCACTCTGCCACCTTTCCTGATTGACGCAAGCAAAAGCACTCATACAAAAAAGTACACGTGCCAGAGCGTTTTTGGAGATCCGCGATTCTATCAGAGTCCTGATTAAAAACGCTATACACTGCGAAATACACGAGAATATTTCTCGTATCTTCACAATAAGGCCCGGCGCAGGCTATAAAATAGCTATGTGTGTCTGTGCGCCTTGCGCCAAAATGCGTCTTTTTGCCACTCTTATTTTTTCCTCTTACTTTTTCCGTTTTTCTAATGATTGATATAAACAGTCTTCGCAAAGATCCTCATAGCGTGGCGGAGCAGTTAGCCAAGCGCGGTTATATATTGAATGTGCATGCTTTTATGGAGCTAGAAGAGCAGCGGCGAGCGCTTCAAATGCAAGCGGAGGGCTTGCAAGCTCGCCGTAATAGTCTATCTAAAGAAATTGGTCAGCTCAGCGCGCAGAAAACAGAGACGGCTGCAGCGGAAAAAGCACAACGTGTAGAAGAGGTCCAAAAAATCAATCAGGCGCTTAGTGCTGCTTCTACAGAGCTACAGCTTGTACAGACTCATATTGCAAACTGGCTGCTTGAAATACCTAATGTGGTACATCATAGCGTGCCGGTTGGGCAAAATGAGCTGGAAAATGTTGAAGTTGCACGCTGGGGAACGCCTCGCTCATTTGAGCAGGAAGGCTTTACTCCTAAAGATCATGTAGATGCAGGCCAGCCATTAGGGTTGGATTTCGAGGCAGCGACAAAATTAAGCGGAGCACGTTTTTCCGTGCTGCGCGGGCCTATAGCGCGCCTACATCGTGCGCTTACACAGTTTATGCTCGATACCCATACATTAGAGCACGGCTATACCGAAGTATGCCCTCCCTATCTCGTCAATGCTGCTGCGCTACAAGGCACCGGACAATTACCCAAATTTGCCGGAGATCTATTTAAAGTTCCACGCAGTGGCATAACCGATGCAGAAGCGATAGAAGAAAAAATGGGTAAAGAGATAGAGCCGCTCTATCTCATCCCAACCGCAGAAGTGTCGCTTACCAATTTAGTGCGCGATAGCATAGTGGAAGCAGATGCGTTGCCTCTTCGTTTTGTAGCACATACGCCGTGTTTTCGTTCTGAGGCAGGCAGTTATGGTCGAGATACGCGCGGCATGATCCGTCAACATCAGTTTGATAAAGTAGAGTTAGTACAGATTGTAAAACCAGAAGATTCTTACGGTGCACTAGAGCAACTGGTTGGGCATGCTGAAACTATTTTGCAAAAACTTGAATTGCCTTATCGAAAAATGCTGCTCTGTACAGGAGATACGGGATTTTCAAGTGCAAAAACCTATGATTTAGAAGTATGGCTAGCTTCGCAAAATACCTATCGTGAAATTTCATCGTGCTCTAATACCGAAGCCTTCCAGGCGCGCCGTATGCAAGCGCGTTTTCGCAATGCTCAAGGAAAACCGGAGCAAGTGCACACATTAAATGGCTCAGGGCTTGCTGTAGGCCGCACTCTAGTAGCAATAATTGAGAATTTCCAAAATGCAGATGGCAGCCTTACTATTCCTAAAGCGCTACAACCTTATTTAGGTGGGATGGAGCGTTTAGTGCCTTTGGAAGCTTAAAATCTATTTATTTGAAGATAATGCACGAAAAAATACCCAACCAAGAATCTAAACCGCCACAGGCAAAAATGTGGCGCATTTTCCTGCCTATTGTTATTCCTATATTTTTTGTATTGATTGTTATGGCAGGGGCTGGGTTATTGCTGTTTGATCACTTTTCTGTGTAAAAGCAATAATTACAAGTCTGTGGTGTGCATGTTGGGGTTCGTACCTCACCACCAACCTACGAATTACTTTTCTTGTATTTAAGAATATGCTATCACGCTAGCGCATTCTGGGGAGAGTTATTATTCTCAGACTTATCTTGATCTATTTTTCCCTTTAGTATCAATAGCATTTGATCCAATTTTTGAAGTATTTCCCCATTGTCTTTTCGAATATCGGCAACTGTATTTTCCATATCATAAATTATTTCAGCCCCTGAAAGTTTTTCTTTAGACGATACTATTTTATTAGAGTCTATAAAGTGGCTATGCAATGGCTGTTGAGTATTTTTTGGAGTAATAGTGTTGTTAGGCATTTTATAATGCTTCCCAGGTAATTAATCAATGAAAAAAGGATACTTTCATTGACTTAAATCGTTATAAGAGGTATGAACTACTACTTGTTTCGTGCCGATTCTTGAAGCAGAGCGAGCACTTCATTCATTTTATCTTTGATCTCTCTATTTTCTGCTCGGGAGATAGCAAGTTCATTTTTAAGATAATCTATATGTGAATCCAATTTTTTATTTTGTTCTGCCTGCCCAACAAGAAGCATCTTTTGTTCGCTATCTCTTCCATCAGCAGGAAACATGGCAATAATAGTTTCTAGGGAGCGAATCAATGGATTAAAGATGTCATCGTGAATCTCTTGCGCATTACGCTCTTCTTTTTTCGCCAGGTCGGCCCAGAACCAGGTACCTAGTTTTAGCAATGCAGCCAGTGTACTGATAAGAAAAGGTATAGTAACAGCCACTATGTTAGACACTACTAGCAATCCTACAGTCGTTGCCCAGCCCCAAGTACTAATTGTGAATCCAACGGTATAACCCAGGCTTTTATTTAAACGCTCTAAACCTATGAGCAACTGGCATTTTGGAATTTCTAATGGCGTACCCGCTAAATCAGCGTAATCCTTAATCTCTGCATTAAGTTTATCCCATTTTTTATAAATTTCTTTGCGTAGCTCTGTATTTAACAAAGGGGAAGCATTCAGCTCTTCAATAATGGCCAATGCTCTAGAAACCAAATCATTCCATAGGTTAATATCTTCTTCATTCTTAGCAGTTTGCACTGCAGAAATCGCATCTACTTTGATATGACAAGCATATTTTTCATATACGCTTGCCGTCTGAATGTCTTCTTCGAATTTTTTGAGAGACTCTACGTTAACGTTCCACTTTTCATCTTGTGGGCCAAAAAGTGAAGATGCATGCGTGAACTTGATTCTAGGCACTACTGGTTCATCTGGCCTAATAGGGACATAGCCTTCATCAGCTTGAAACCACTTACCTTTACGCGACGTGGAGCTTGAATCGTAGCTTCTCAGGCTGCCATTAGAATGAACACTTCCTACTCCTGGCATGCTGCACTCCTTTCCTCATACAAGGCAAAAATGTAACCATGCAGCACGGTTAACGCACTCAGATCACCAGAATATTGTATGCATATAGGTTTCAATGTTTCTTCCTATGCTTTTTTTATGATTTTTTTTCGTATGAATAATTTTCTATCGCACCAATATACTGGCCCCTAGAAAACTCTTATTGTTATTAGAGCCGATAAGAATATCACACCTTTTTCTGATTCGCCACACAGAAAACTCCTTGCATTACTTATCTGTACAGCCCCTATTTGTAATGGTTTGGACCCTCAAAATTTCTACGGGAATTATCTGAAATTTGGCTTTCCATAGCGCCTTATCTGTATCCTACGGTCTATATCCAAAGTAAGTAGTCCTACCATACCTAACTCCTTCGATTGCCTTAAATAGGTATTTAAAAAACCATGGCCTCTTCCTGGAATATTCCCAAGCAGCGTACATTTTTACCTTCTGCTCAGCAGAACACGCACTCAGCGCCTTCTGGCGCAGAGGCCGTGATTTCTGTGAGCGTATTGACACGTACTATTCACACCTGGCTAGAGCAGACTTTTACGCAGGCATGGATTTCTGGTGAAATTTCTAATTTCACACAGGCTTCGAGTGGGCATTGGTATTTTGTTTTAAAAGATGCGGGTGCGCAGATTCGCTGTGTGATGTTTCGTTCGCGTACGGCGTATGTTGAAAAGATCCCGCAAGAAGGAGATCATATTGAAGTGCGTGCCACTGCAACGCTCTATGAACCGCGTGGGGATTTGCAGTTAACTGTAGATAGCATCCGTCATACTGGTTTAGGGCGACTGTACGAAGCATTTTTACGGTTAAAACGCACTTTAGAAGAGGCAGGGCTCTTTAGCGCAGAGCGTAAACGTGCCCTGCCCCTGCATCCAAAAACCATCGGCATCATTACTTCCCCGCAAGCTGCGGCGCTCCATGATGTACTCACGACACTCGCGCGGCGCTCTCCCCATATACGAGTTATTTTATATCCTGCTCCTGTGCAAGGTGCGCAGGCTGCGGCTCAGTTGGTAGAGCAAATTAAGTGTGCAGGAGCGCGCGCTGAAGTAGATGTTTTATTGCTTTGCCGTGGAGGAGGTTCGATTGAAGATTTATGGGCCTTTAATGATGAAAAACTAGCTCATGCCATAGCGGCCTGCCCATTA